CGCCCCGCCCCGACGCCGCAGCCGCCCGGGCCCGCGCCGCCTCGACGCCGTCACCGCCCCGCGCCGGACCTCGCCGTCGCCGTCGCCGGCAGTAGTGAGCCTCTTTTTTTAATTTTTGTTAGATTTGTTTTTAGATTTTTCTGTAGTTCATAGATTTTTTTGTTAGATTAGATGTGTAGTAATTTAGATATGTAGTTAATGTAGATTCTGTAATTAATTTGTTCAAATTATGTTAGATTTTTTTTCTGTAAAAAGATTTTTTATGTTAGATTTTTTTTCTGTAAAATGTGTTCATATTGTGTAATTTAGATCTTTATGTAGGATTAGATGTGTAGTAATTTAGATATGTATTATATTATGTTAGATTTTTTTTCTGTAAAAAGATTTTTTATGTTAGTTTTTTTATGTTAGATTTTTTTTCTGTAAAATTTGTTCATATTGTGTAAGTTAGATCTTTATGTAGGATTAGATGTGTAGTAATTTAGATATGTATTATATTATTTTAGATTTTTTTTTGTAATTTAGAAGAAGTAATTTAGATCTTTATGTAGGATTAGATGTGTAGTAATTTAGAAAAAGGAAAAAAAAGAAGAAGTAGTTTATATATGAAGTAGTTTGTTTTTAGTAAGTACTACTTATTTATTTATAGTAAGTGTTTAGTAGTTGAACTAGATAGATTTAATTAATAAGACTATTTTTATTTAACTATATATAGAAGTAGTTCCCGTGTCGACGTCGGCGATGCCTATCCCGCATCCTCGTCATCGTCGACTCGGCGGTGGAGGCCTGCTTGATCAGGGTCATGTTCGGGACTGGGCTCCGCCGGGCTGGTATTGGGAGGTGCTACCTTTCGGGGGACGTAGGTTGGTGAGGAGGCAGCCTGTTGTTGACCCGATCCTTGTTTGGTGGCGGTCGCGTGGGCCAGTGATGATGGTGAGGCATCCGGACACCGCGGAGGTGGTACGTCATCGTGTCAGCGAGGAGGACGAGCACGTCCGTCGCTACATGGTTGCATTGAAGGGGAGGTTCGACAATACCTGGCAGGTTCTTCAGGGATCTCACTGGAGCTATGATCCTGTGATGGTTCCTTATCTTTGGGTGTCCACCGCCCGCGTCGATACCCGTCGGGCGCTACGGTTCTAGTTTTATTAGTGATAATATTCGATGATGTACGGACATCAAGAGATGATGTACTTTTGCTTATAATTATTGAATGCATGCTAATTTGAATACTATACTTTATTTTGTGATTTGGTTTTGCTTATTGAATGCTCATATTGGATAAGTTCTCCTTCATTCCCGTGTGCTAGACAATTTGGTATAATATTCAACCCGTACATACATCGATCATCGATAGTCAACCCGTGATTTATAATAATGATCTAGTTTAATATTTGAATTATGAACGTAGGCCGAAAATGTCGTACTCATCTGACGACGAAAATCGCCCGGGGGAGTGC